AACTCGATAGAAGTGAAATAACTTGAAAGTAGAAAATATGTATGTATGTATATAAGAACCAAAAATAATGAGGGATTTAAAGAGTAAAACCAGAATTGTACGAAATAACCCTAGAACACTAATGTTAGTCGATTCGACTAACACCGATTATGTTTTGTGGTGAAGTTTCTTGAAAATGCATTTTTGAAATGGAATTTTCGTTAAATAAACTTGATTCGACTAATAATGACGATGATTAGTGTTCCAGGGTTAAATGAAGTCAGAGGAACCTAAAATTATTTCAACCAAAAAGTAGCAAAAAAAATCTAATTAAATTGTAAACATAAACAAGTATATACGCATATATACGTATATATGTATATAGGGAATAAGAGCTAGGGTCAAGTAAAGTAATAAAGCAAGAATAGTATATTGAGATTAACTAAACCCGAACAAATTTAATCAGAGTAAATTAAATAAACATAAATAAAATTAATCTATATTACCTTAACCAAATGTGAAATTAAATTAAATAAGCTAAAATTAAATCAAATTAAATTGAACTTAACTAAAATAAAATAAGATAAACTACTATTTAGTAGAACTTTTAAATAAACTAAGTTTACGTAGCTAAAATAACCTGATATAAAGTGAAAGGAAAGTATAAATTTAATAAAAAATTCTACTAAAATAATTTTAAATAAACATACCAATGGGGAAATAACCTGATGTATAAATTAATCATAACCTACGATTATTAAAAATTTAAATAATATAAATTTAAATTCATAACGATTAATAAATATAATAAAAGAAAAATGGCCACTATATAACTAAAGACTCAACATGATAATAATAATAATAATAATAATAGAAATAATGAAGAAATAGAACACATATAAATATATATTTTTTTGTATACAAAGAAAAAAAAGAGAAAAAGAAGATTTAAAGAAAAGGATTAAAAACCCTAAAAGGATATCCAAACCAATAAATCTAGAAATATAGGGCAAGTTTATTAGATAAAATAACTACTAAACTTAATTGAATTTTATTTTTATTTTTTTTTTTGTTAACTATACTTACCTGACTTACCTTAGATATACCAACCGGACTTACCAGAATAGAATATAGAGAGCAATATATATCGGGGCTTGATTTTGACATCCATTGCGGTGACTTGGTAGTTTGACAGCTACGTTTTCCTTTGTACTAAAGCGTTCTGGCGGCAACATTATCAATATTCTGATATAGAGCCAGTGGCAATCGGTAGCTTTTTCAGCATGGTGTACGAATAAATTGAGTTTTTCTGTACCAACCGCAAATGAAAATTTTGACAGTTGGGAAAAACCACACAAACGCTTGTGCTCTATTGTTAAATTTACATCTATTTTATAACTTGCAAGTAACGTACGTTCTTTTGTTTTATCAGATTCCATTTTGATTTTCATTCTTTATTAACGCCCACAATATTCTGCCTTATCCTGAGTTTCGCCCGAAAATTGTTCATCCGCCCATAGTAAATACATGGAAACCAAGAGTTGAAAAAGTGAACTGGTTCGGAAAAAATGAAACTCATGATAAGACTGATTACACCTAGAAGCTGTAAAATTTTACCTAGCACATGAGCTAGATAAAATTCTGACGTTCGTATCCACCACGAAACTGTCAAATTCGTAAACTAGCAATTTTCAAAGATTTTTTTTTGCGGTTAAGTCAGGTAAAAATACTTACAAAGGAGTCACGGCAACCCCGGATTTTTTTTTATATTCCTCCTTGAACTGCGGCAAATTCCATTTGGAAGAGTAACGGAACTAGTCCAAATGACGCAGTGCCCGTTATTCTTCCAAATGGAATATTCCCGCAGTGCAACTCTGCAGTCAACCATTTGGCATTCTATCATTGGCGACTGGTGCGAAAAGTGAAAATTTTACGAAAGAAAACGCATTTTACAAGGCGCGGTTGTGATTTCAAATGTAATAAAATACATAGTGCAAGTAAAAGTACAGTGTTAAAAAAGTACGCAACCGCATAGTGAAAAAAAAGAAGTAATAAATTAAAACTATATATCGTGCAGTCAAAAGCAGAGGTGAACCGTGCTACGCCGCTGCTCGAATAAATGCCGTAACTCGCACGGCATATTCCTGCAATTCCACCTGGCAAGTAGGGTCCCAACTTCCGAGGACTTCATACCACGGACTCGCAGAGTACGAAACCCGCTACACCAACTTGGTATCGCTTTGGGCGCTCGTACCGCACATTGCTGGCTAACCACCACCGTGTCTTCGGGCAAGGCAGTCATTTTCGCCCACGTATCCTGTGAAGAGCTCTGCATAATATCCCTCTAGGGTTTAGGTAAGTTGTATTACTTCAATGTTTCTATACGTATGTGTATCGCACGTTGGCTGGTATACAGAAGTAGTCTAAAACTTGCGTGTTGAGAGATTTCATCGTATAATTGTTGAGCGTGACAAGGAGAAATATGCTCCGCTTAATAACTGTATGAATAATTCAAGCTTTGAGTTCGTTTCCCCGCCAGGTTGAGGTTTTGGAATGATTCTGTATATTGTTAAACCTGTGATATCTGTACTGTTTTCTTTCAAAGTCGCCTAAGTCGAGAAGAGACAAAATTGGGTTTTTATAATAGTCTCTTGAGAAAACCCCTTTGATTTGCCTTATTTGCGGTTCCAAGCTAAACAGAAAAAAACCCTTTCCCTCACTTACATCGAAATGAAATTTTATTTAGGGGAAATAGGTTTCGGGGAAAAGGGCCCAAGTGGAGTTAAATTTTGGTTTTCAACCAAATACGTGTCAACAAAAAGCGCTTAAGTAACAAACTCACAAATATTCATATTATAGAAGATTTTAGCTAATTTTTTGTTGTTAAATTAAACCCTCGTTGAATTGAGTTAAGCTACTTTAAGTGAACGGCACATTTAAGTGTTAAACCTGTACTGTACTGTATATATGTAGATATAGTAATCCTTATCACGAGTTCGCAAAAACAAGTCACACATGAGCAAAGTGGGAATAGTGAACGAGCTCGGACGAAAGCGAAGCTCCTGATAGTATGAATCATTAAATTATGACCCTAACCCTAATTACTTTTAATGTGTCTAGGGGGTGCCTCAGCCGTCCACCGCAACATCAGACCACGACCGCCCCGAGCCGCATCGGCAAACCAACGAATTACGGGTAGCCGTAACGCCAGCGTAACAACCGCAGGGGGCATCATCCAACGCCACCGAAGCGCGCAACAACAACAACAACAGCATATCGACAACAACGGTTGCGCGAAGCAACTCCGCTCCAAAGCGGCATCACAACCACCGCACTGTAGCGGCATCAGTAGCAGAACCACCAGCAACTCACCAGGGAGTGGGCATCAACCGGGGTGAGCACCCGGGCACGAAAGCGCGCAACGCCAACAACAGCCGCGCGCAACACCAACAACAGCTGCTCGCAACGTCAACAGCAGAAGCGCGCAACACCTGCGACTACAACAACAGCAGTGCCCCTACCAAGGCCTGCTGCAAGAAGGGGTGAGTTCTTCGGGCCTATATATACACACCTACGTTTTTATATGTATGCTAAATAAGAAAAATAAAAACTATTAAATTGACTAAAAAAATATATATATAACTTAACTTTACTGCCGGGTAAAGTTATAGAATAAATATATTTTTTTAGTGCTCTATGAGCACGTCTTGTCTTTATTGATTCAAAAGTTTAGCTAACTTTAGTTGACAATCGGATTCTTAACCTAAGCTTGGAGTTGGATGTTGACACATGCAACCACCATGTGCCTAGTAGGTTTCTCATGGTTACGGCATTTGTGCTACATGATATCCAATTTTGGTAGACATAGCGTCAGTAGAAAATGTGTTGCGCGTGTGAACGTCGCTGTTAACTTCTGTGGCGTTAACGCCTCCCCCTTTAAGTTCAACGGTGTCCTCACTGTTGTGGGTTAGGGTACCGGCAATATCATCTGTATTCTTTTTTGTTGTTTGTATGGTTACTTTATAGTTCCTTTTGGAGGTATATGTTCTATATGATCGTAGGCAGATAACTATGACGAAGATAATATAATTGATGGTTAGACTAGCGCCGTATTTATACTTGATTTCTCTCAACTCTTCAGTGTTAGTAATCTGTAATTCCTTCAGCATCTGTAAGGATAGGGCTTCCATGAAAATATTGGTCGCATTAGAAGTTTGTGCTACTGCAGGTAATGGTTTTGCAGCTGATAGCTGATTGCTTCTAAATATTTGGTTTTTCACCGTGATTGTTGAGTTGCTGTGGTGAATTTAGAAGGTTCCTTGCAGTGACATGGATTTGTTATCATTTGTGATCATTTAGTAGAATAATGTTAGATGTGATTTCTTCGATTGTCGGTAAATGTTGGTTATTGCTGGTGGTGTATGTTGAAGGCAAGCTTTTCGTTAAATTAGGAATACAACTAGAACTAGTAATATTAACAAAGATCAATGTTTTACAAATTGGTATTTCATCTAAGGTATTACATTCATTGTTCATTCCTAATATTCCATTTTCACACAACATTATATTTTCAAATTCTAACTTAATGCTAACATTTTTCATTTTTATGGGTTTTAACAACAATTTTTTACATCTGGTTTTCTCTGTTAATGGTAGCGACACAACGTACAATAAGGTTGATTGGTTTGCAGCGATTTTTACTTCACTGAATTCTAAGGCTTCTATTAAATTTACAAAAGGCATTTTTTGTTCCTCGAAAAGGTTTTTTGTAATGTTAATTTCGAAATTTGATAATATAAAGGAGTTGACAATGCCTGCTTTGGCCCACTGTGTCGAGTAATTTATCTGAACCAATTGTTCTTTAATTATCTTGAGTTTGCGTTCTATATTTCGTATTATCTCCTTTTTTGCTATTTCGCTTGACTGGACTGTGTTTAAAAGGGTATTCGTTATTTTCGAGATTTCATTCAGTCGGTTGATTGTTAATCTGTTAATTATTACTTGTTTGTCGTTATTGCTTAATAAGTTATTTGTCTGGTCGGATATCAGTTGGAAATCGTCGTGGTCTGGAGGGCCTGATAGCCATTTCCAAGCAGTTCCAAGGATGTTCAAGGATCGTTTTTGCCTAGGTTTGAGTCCGTTAAGTATGTTCTTTAGTATATCGGTGTCGTGTTTGAGAAAAAGGTAACTGCTGTCCTTGGGTGTTACATAGTTTTTTATTGTAGATTCTATGTCCAAGATAGCTTCTTCGTATTGGTTGAGGTTAATTGCATGTATGAGTTTGAATGTACCTGTCTGTAGTAGTGCGATACCTTTAACGATTGCGATTATTTGGGAATTGCTGTAATCCAATATCTGTGTTTTGCAGTGGCATACCGTCATTAATTTTAATAGAAAAGATACGTATCTTATAAAAGTTGTAATGTTGTCTCCTGTGAATGAAAATAATTCTTTTCAGTTAGGTATTGATTATTTTTCCTAATACTGAGCTAATATATTTCTAACTAATTTCTTATTAATCCTTTATGCACTATTCTTTCTGAATTTGTGGTAACTGTACTGTTTCTGTTTTCCACTACAGTATCTTCTTTATAGCGGCATGTAAGTTTATTTCCAATTCTCTTATTTGTTCTAACAAAAATTACGTCGTCCACATTATAATTTTAATAAGGCTTTCTTTTTTTGTTGTGATAATTAAGGTCAGCGTCCTGTTTATATTGGAGCCTCTGAATATTCTTTTGCTTTTCGGCTTCGACTTGGAGAGGGTCAGACGTTACACGTCGTCCAAAAAATAGCTCTACAGGTTTTTGGTGTGTGGTAGAGTGAATAGAATAGTTATACTTCCATATGGATTTGTCGAGGAGGTCTGCAAAGGATAAATGGACCTTTTCTGCCTTAAGACAACGCATTATCTCTGCCAATGTGCTGTGGAATCGTTCGATTTGTCCGTTTACTGTACTGGTATAAGGTGGGCATTTAAATATTTCGATATTCAATTGGTCTTCTAAAAGATGTATTATTGAAGCTGATCCTAGTGATTTTTCGTTGTCGATAACTATTTTTTCCGGTATCCCGAAGCACATCAATAGTCTTCTAAGAGGTTCTTTAATATGTTGTGTGGCTCTTGATCTGACTAATGTCGCTTGGGCATATTTAGAAAACTTATCTATTGCAGTCAGTATTACTCTGTCGTTTGTGTAGTAAATGTCTAGATGTACGATCTGTCCAGGATATTGTGGGATTGGAGTCGGTTTTATAATGGGTTTTGGGGGGTGTCTTTGACATTTCTGCGTTTTACAAATTTTACACGGTTTTATTATTGCGTCTATTTTCGATTGCATTCTAGGGAAGTAAAATGATCGTAAAAGCTGTTGTTTATTTTCGCGCGCGCTGCGATGTGCACGTTTGTGTTCTTTTAGGATTTCATTCTCTTCGGCTTCGTCCGTTAAGCGAGTTAACATTTTCCGCGTGAATCTAATTTTATAATTTCTGAAGTGTAGAGGGTATATTTCCTGTATTTTGCCGAGAATGTGCTCTTCTGTGCTTAAGCCGTTTACGACTGACGGATTCAGATNGGTTTTATAATGGGTTTTTGGGGGTGTCTTTCATATTTCTGCGTTTTACAAATTTCACACTGCTTTATTATTGCGTCTATTTTCGATTGCATTCTAGGGAAGTAAAATGATTGTAAAAGCTGCTGTTTATTTTCGCGCGCGCTTCGATGTGCACGTTTGTGTTCTTTTAGGATTTCATTCTCTTGTTCGGCTTCGTCCGTTAGGTCAGTTAGACATTTCCGCGTGAATCTAATTTTATAATTTCTGAAGTGTAGAGGGTATATTTCCTGTATTTTTCCGAGAATGTGCCCTTCTGTGCTTAAGCCGTTTACGACTGACGGATTCAGATCGGTTTAAAATTTCAATTTATTTCTCTTGAGAGTAGTCATTTCCAGTAACTGTATGTCTGTGATATGTTGGGAAAATTATATTGAACCTGTATGAGGAAATTACATCTACATTTAGGAATATTTGATTATTAAAGGCGTTTATAGGTGCCTCCGTTGTCGGTATTAAATTATGTTCGGAGCTTTCATCGCTATGCATAGTACCTGTCAATGAATTTATTTGGGGCGGTCGTGAGAGTGCATCGGCGACCACATTTGCCTTTCCCGGTTTGTAATGCAATTCATAATTGTATTGCTCCAAGATGGCTTTCCATCTTTTCATTTTATTATTGTTGTTTTTTGTACTAAGCGCGTACGTCAGGGGCTGGTGATCGGTAAAGATTAGGTAGGTAAAGGTAGTTTCGTAAATTACATAAAGCCCAGATAATCGCCAACATTTCCATTTGTGGCGTAATGTTCTTCTGTCTGGCTTAGTGTTCGGGATATGAAAGCAATGGGTTTATCATTCTGCGAGAGTACTGCGCCAATCGCGTAGTTTGAGGCGTCTGTTGTTCACTGACACTCTTTTGAATAGTCGGGATGTATGAGCATTACTTCCTCAGCAGTGAGAGATAATTTAATTTTGTTAAAGGCTTCGATTGCGTTTTCATCTAGTGATATATGAGTTTTTTTTTGAAACGCTTTTGGGCTTACGCCCATCTTCCCCTCTTAGAAGGNCACTGACACTCTTTTGAATAGTCGGGATGTATGAGCATTACTTCCTCAGCAGTGAGAGATAATTTAATTTTGTTAAAGGCTTCGATTGCGTTTTCATCTAGTGATATATGAGTTTTTTTTTGAAACGCTTTTGGGCTTACGCCCATCTTCCCCTCTTAGAAGGACTGTAAGGGGTTTTGCCAGCTTCGCATAATCTTTAATGAAGCGGCGATAATACCCTGAAAGTCCTAAGAAGGCACGAAGATCTTTCAAAGTTTGGGGCGTAGGAAAGTTCACTATCGCTTCGGTTTTTTTTGGATTCGTCTTGAGGCCCTTCTCGGAAATAATAAACCCCAGAAACTCAACCTCAGATTTTAAAAATTCACTCTTATCTAACGGTATTTTTAAATTGGCGTTCTCTAGAGTCTCGAAAATAATTTTCATGTCATTGAAATGAGTTTCCTGGTCCTTGCTGAAGATGATAATATCATCTATATAAACATAAGATCGCTTGCCGATGTGATCCCTGAGAATATCGTCTAGGGCTCTTTGGAAAATTGAGGGAGCATTTTTCAACCCAAAAGGCAGTCGAGTAAAATCGTACTTACCGTTATTTATAGAAAACGCTGTTTTTTCAATATCCGATTCTTTAAGTGGGATTTGGTGAAATCCACTTTTTAAATCGATTGTTGAAAAATATTTGTTTTTACCAAGTTGTGCCAATACATCTTTGATTTCTGGAATGGGATATTTGTCGGGCACTGTTACTAAATTTAACTTTCTATAGTCGACCACCATACGGTATTTCTTTTCTCCTGATGCGTCTAGTTTTTTTGGTACTACCCATACGAGGGCGTTATAAGGCGATCTAGATGGTCGGATGATCCCATCGCGTAAGTAATCCTTAATTTGTTTTTCCACTTGTTCTTTTAAGCAAATTGGATA